AACGTAAAGGTGACAACCTATTAGCGTATCGGCTGTTAACACATTGCGACTCTGATTTTAACCAACCACCTCAAATATCTCTGAGGTAATCATTCCCGGATGATAATAACGGACATTTCTCCTCCACGGGTTACTAGTTGGTACACGGCAATATCATCCTCTACACTTCGTTGAATCTTCTTGCTAAATGAAATACCTTCTTTCGTTGAACACCCCACAACATGTCATAGATTACCTGGTATTTGGTTTCCCGTTCAAAATGGTCTTTACGGGGGGACTTACTTTGTTTCAGCAATATAGTTGTAACGCGATTTGTTCTCAAACGAACCACGTTCTTCTAAACCGGGCTTAGTGTGATTAGAGCGAATACCGTTCACCTCATGGGAGTAGTGCTGCTTGGAATGAATTTCCTCAGTAGTTTACCATCAGAAATGTTCAGACGATCAGCCCATTTGTAATCAGTTCATTTCAGATTTTACAACCGGTAACTGAAGTCAACTGATTACTGCTGAGCTTATCACCTCAAAAGTTCTGATGGTGAACGGCTGAGGAAACCCATTACTAATGATGAGGACTATAAACTTTCCGTCCACACCAAGTGAAAATTTACGTAAAGCAAGCATTTTTTATTGACACAAATAGAGTCATCGCCCATAAATTAGATATATAAAGGTTCCGATGATATGTGCTCATGGCTTCAACACACTCCCGCCTTCGTGTACAATTGGTGTCGAACCCTTGCCCGTAGATCACTTTTCCGTCATCGATTATTGATCTATGGTCATCTGTCCACATCTTCGTGTTCCATCAATAACTGAATGCAACGGTAGAACGGCGTTTTTCTCTCCCCTCACCGCACACCGTGAGTGGTCGCCCATGGCCTAGTTTATGTTCCCAGTAATGTTTTCCGTCATCTGGATCATTCAGTTTGGCAATGCTAAAGCTCTTGGATTTCATTGTTATTGGAACATAGTAGGGCCGCTTGTCGTCCGTTCACACCCAGNCACACCCAGGGCCCATGTTAGTCACACTCCTCTTTACGGTGTGCTTGAAAATCGGTAGGTGGCCATTTGGTTTCATTAGTCGTTGTACTGTTACAGCACTTATATTATCCCTCATTTTTATTGTGACATAACCTCCTTTTATTACTGGATACCATACAAACACACGGTAGATTTATACTGCTCTTTTGAGACTTGATATTTCATTATGTATGGTATGGGATCAAGCTTTTTATGTGGGCATTTTGCATGACCTAGATGTGTTAATCCTGACGCTGACAATACGAATACTGCATTTATTCATCTTTCGACAACCATTGTGCTATCCTTCACTGCCTCGTATTCATCCGGAATGGAAAGTTTCAACCCTTAAAATGTTTCCTACCTCAAAACCGGCGAATCAACAGTTACCAAAGGTCCTGATGATCCCTCTGTTACTTGACTAAATTATCGAGCTGAAGCGCTTCGGCAAAAAGCAACAGCATATATCACCACATTGCGTATGAGCTGCTATCCTAATTTTTATGGAATCCTATAATTGTTGTTCCAATTCCATAGGTTATTTCTGGCGACATGCTTTCTAAGCGTTTCGGGCCATGGTCGTCTTGGACTCAAGCCAATGAAACGGGTTATCCATAACTGCTTTCGACCTTCCCTGCTGACCAGTATTAATTCGCGTACAATTCTAACAGGTGCCTCCTGGATGCTGTCGGGTTTTTCTTTGCTTGTAAGAGACTACTTTGCCCACCGAACTTAGCGTACCGAGATAGGTAAATGTTTTCTCAACCCACATCGACTAATCCTGATGCTCTTCACAATGCAGTTTTGTCTCCGCACGTGAGTGATTTTGCAGTTAATGCTCTGGCTAAACTCCCCACGTATAAAGCTGACCTAGTGCTCGGCCAGACAATCTCCGATCAATACGACTTCATTTCCTTTAACCTTTATGATATTTAAAGCCACTCATTTCGTTTTTAGTTCCATCTTCCAGCATTGTAGCTGCTGTGACTACTGAAACTTTATCAAGATTCCGATAATTTTATGGCTCTTTAATAATCAATTCTGTCCTCATCTCAGGATTTTCATCTGTAAAGTACTAGGGCATCACAACGAATACTGGCTAACGCTGGTCTTCCATTTTCAAGGTCTTGTATAATTGTTTACATTAATTCCACAAAGTCATTTTTAGTGTAGCAAAGCGTGTCGTAAGAACCTCACCGACGCAAAATTATCTGTTATTGCGTGAAATAATTTAGTCGTCAGGATTGCCAGCATTGGTTATCGAATTTTTCGGTTAAAGTTTACGCTCGGCTGCCAAACGTGCGATACGAAAAGCGATCAAGCTTACGCCCATAACCGATCAGATAAAAAAAAATTTAGTGAGGACCTCAGCGTTCCCCGTTCTAAACCCCGCCCACTCATAAGATACGCATAATTGACTACAATCGATCGAAATGCACGCTGCTCCCTTGCGTACTGCTCTTGCTGATTCAAGCGCAATTCACGCGCTTTTCCTCTAATACTCCAGAACACGCCCACTCTCCTGTCCCAGCCGTGACCAGCGGCCAAGTTAGTGCCCGCCAAACCTGAGTTCAATGCACCACACCCTGGTTTGGGTTCTGATTTCTCTCCATTCATATCGCGTTGTGTTCATTTTCAGTTCATTTGAAACGAGGCAATGATAAATCCAGAGCGTTCCATACTCACCGTTTGTGCCATCCATTTTTGTTGGCATAACAAGGAGAGACGATGGGAACATTGCGTTAGAAATCATTTTGTTTTGTGTTGGCTTCTGAAGAAAAAAAACGTGTCTACTGAAGTTCACTACTGGTAACTAATTTTCTCCAGTTTTCAACGTTGTCGTTCCTCAGCCAAGCATTTGGTTATATTGTTCTACACTTTCATATGCGAAGCTCGGCTAGTTTAAAGTTCATCTTCTGAGCGTTCTAGATTCTCTGGAATGTTATACTATAACCGCTCCTTAGTTGAGTTTCATCCCTGGTAAAACTTTGTACAACTTCTCTCGTTGTAAATCATTATCGTATTCCTTTCTCTCTTTTCTCCGGTCCTCAGATCACACAACACACAAACTCCGAAATTCAGACGGATTCCGAGGATAAGGAGAACTCGTCGGATTCAAACGAAAGGTGCATGCCATTCGTGAATCTTTTCGAATTTCCCTCGCTTTTCTTTGCTTGTTCTATTAAGGGACACTGTAGTTTAGCATACAACAGATGCCGAGGCGGGGGGGGGTACGAACCTCTCTCTCAGTTTCATCGCTGATTAAACCACACGTATTGTGGTAAAATCATTGTATTACTTTTACGCTGTCATTGAATATTTCATTACCTGATAGCTCCCTATCTTGTCTCAAACTGTATAAAACTGATTTCTGTCATCAGAAAACTCGTGGTCAAAAAATCAATCTTAATGGTTGCAGCTCTTTTTCCCACAGTTTGACACATTCCATTCTCTAATTTGAGCAATGATCCAGGTGAATCGTACCTCTTCTCATCTGTAGAATGTACCCTACAGAGAAAATTTCGTTGCTGTGAGACTTGCTGAGATGGTTTGTTCAATTCGTGCTGTGTATCATCAACTGCGCACATTCTCGCATTACGTGTATAACCGTAACCCTGGAGTTTCATTATAAGGGGTGCTTTCTATTGTCAAACACTACCGCGGATGGCTATCTCGTTTTTGCTCCCCACTTTCACTAATGTGATGACACACTTGCACNGCACGATTACTTTCGCTTTGTGCCCTGTTTGATATCATCAGGTGATGCGAGTTTAAATAATGTTCAGTGGCTGGTTACAGGTGTCCATCAGCACCGAGTGCCGTAAAAATACACAGCTGCCTTTTGCACTGTACTTTCTATTGAAGCCAAAACCGAATCTCGGAGCTGCATCGTACGTGCTAGTGCTTGATGTTGTTGTATCTAAATCCTAAAACCGCACACCTCACCGACGAAGTTCTTTGTTTGGTAAGAAGCCGAGACAGATAGTCATGGAACCATGCCAAGAATTATTTTCTGGCTCATCGGGACGAAATACCAGTGAACAAGTTTAGCCACGAGCACAGACGTTTCCCCTTGTAGAAGGGATTGGACCGTGTTTCAGCCACGTGTAATCAAGTCTTTTCTTGCTGTTCTACAATCCGGACCCCTCTGATCTCCATATGTCAGTTGTATGCTCTTGAAGCATTGCATGTGATCTCTTTTAGGTTGGTTAAGACGTTGTCAAGGCACACGGAAGGGAGCTGAATTATATGCTATATCTTTATATATATGCATACATATATATCTTCGAAAGGCAGCGGAAGTTCATCGATGTGTGGGTAGTCCGCTATTGCGTGATATTGTACGAACCGTTACTACCCTACGTGTTGATAATCGCGCAGTGGCACTCCTGCATGGACGAAATTATTAGACCCTCTTAGCGTAAGGCGGATGCCTTTTATGTTCTACAGATACGCTTGTACAGTTCCTCAGCTTGTCACGGTTACCGAGAAAGTGAATTGTTTGGGAAGAGGCCAATGGTGTTCGATTGTTGGTTGACTGATGTCAAGAAAACCGTGCTAAGTGGAATGCATTATGTTAGGTTTGGTTTGAATCATCAGGAGCGCGCTTGGCGTTGTTTGGCAACATGTTCATGATAACGAACGTTTCTGACGAAATCTTTTATACGGTTGCTTATGCTCATCACTTATTTAACTGTTCATATATTTTAGATATCGATTTGCGCAACAATAACAGCCGTTTCTCTATTCATTGATGAATCCGCTTGCCAACAAATATGGAGCATATTTGTACAAACTGCGCTGTTTCGTCCATCTTTATGATCTGTATGATTAACCATCGTGATTTGAGAAATAGATTTTTGTCGTTTATTTTGCTTGTTTCTCAAGTGTATCCTGAGTGAAAAAATCGCATGCGAATTTTCATCTCACATCAAAATCTCTCCCTTACCTCTCCCACCGTGCCAATTGCGCATTCAGTTTGACGTTGGAATTGCGACGTTATTCGAAATTGTCCGCAGATGCCGCCTGTATTTGTTTGGCATTGGCCCAACGCCTGTCGTCTTTAAATCATCGTGGCGTACCGGATGGAGAGCAGTCCATGGAATCCACCGGTTAGCATATTCATTCGTGTGACTTTTTACACTTGCACGCAATGTATGTGTTACCCTGTAATATACGCTGCAACGCTGTGGCTACTCATGAGTAGTTCCACTTTATTTGCGTCGTTATCTTATGGTCACGCATTGGATACCACGATTTTTCTGCCACCTCATGGTCCTTCTCCAACAAGCAGTATTTCTTCTGATAAATGAATTTAGGACCCATTGACTGTTTTCAATTGGGGATGCTGTGCAGTGGGTGACCGTTCTTCGTAGTTACTCTGCATTGCACACAATCCTGATTATTCAGAACGGTGCATTTCAGACGAACCGCATGAATGCGACATAAGGATGCATGATTCACCCCGTTGAGATACTGTTGAAGCACCACTCTAACCCTTTTTCCTTCAGTTTTATTCTGTTAAATTCTTCTAATCCGTATTAAGGTGAAGGGGATTCCCGTTTCTTCATCTCTGTATCTTCGTATACTAGTTTTGAACCACATGCTACGTACCCTAGTCATGTGTTACGCATGTTACCAAATAAGTTGCCACGATGAGAGATGTTTGCCGAGCCAGGTAGTGAGTGGGAAAAGCCAAGGGTGGTCAATTTAAGACCTGGCACGAGGGTATGAAATCCCTAACCAGGGGACTGGGTCGCATAGGTCCTGTTAGGCTCCCTGGCTAGGTACCTCGGGATGATCGTAACCGATGGTTAACAACACTGAGTGATGTAGCTGAGTGTCGTGAACAGTAGCGTTCGTGCATCTTGTCAGTTTATTTGCAACCTTGGGCCACTGAAATTCTCCATTTTCTTCATCCAAATAGGCAGCCAAAAGACAGCAACCAAAACCGCCGCACGAAGGTGCATGGGTAATGGTTGTGCAAACTGAACTGAACTGATTGCAATTTCTCTAAACATATCTAATAAATTGTGGGTCTTATGTGTGGCCTTTTCCTAACTTACGTCGGTAACTATAGCAAATCTAAGTCAAGGTGCCATAACCATCTACCCTTAAGTTCACAGATAATATTCATATCGATTGGTTGCCCATGTCATTGTTTTGGGTTCATTTAAATCACCTATACAACGGGGAAGTGTTTACTTTCCAGCCGTTCTTCGGCTGCATGAATCTGTTTTCATTAATCCACCCTTGAAATATTTGAAATTTCACATTTGTCCGCCTTATTTTCCACCTCACAGTCAGCCCCTCCTTATCTCAACGTGAGTTTCTTCTGCAGTCTCCTACACATGCTCAGCGAACTTGGTGATGGCTTCGTTCACCCTGCAAAAGGTGGCGGTCCATTCTTTCATTTAATGCATTTCATTGCACCCTAACCATCACTGTCCTGATTCCCGTCAAAAATAATTTGCCAAACATTCTCAGTGGTAATGATCCGTTTTGCAAATCCTGGTGACTAATAAAACAACAATTTGAAAAAAGGGGCTGTTGACCATTTCGTTCTGTTGGGTGCGTACATATCGCTTTGACCGCATTCGGTATATTCCTTTTGCTTGCCCGTTTTACATCTCTGTCTCCCTCTCTCTCTCGCCTACTCACTCACTGCCCACATAGACGACTTCAATCAACTGTTGACCGCACTTTCTGGCCATCCATCAGAAAGCGATCCGGATGATGCTAACATGTACCGTTCTGGATACAAAATTTTAGCACGTAAGTTTACGTCCTGACTGTTTTATCAGTTACCTGGTTGCAACTGAACTTAATCTCTGTAAGTTTATAGAGTTCTCCTTCGTTCGATCTGTGTGTTCCGAATATTGATTGCACTACGTTTTCTGATCCCCACTTGTATTATTTTTGTTAGGCAAATAAAATTTACGCAATCATTGCTACACCGTTTTATTGAAGTATGACATATCAGCTTCTCCCATTTAAGTAATGAGTGCGACAAGACAGTTAAGTGCGCCTGCTTTTTCGAACTCCATATACATGAATTCTTTGAACATAGGTCAAAAATGATGTATGAGACTGATTAATAATGCTATCCGTTGTCATTCATCGTTTCTAGTAAACGGAACTGTGATTTTACAACCTTATAATCGATCGATCTTCTGCATAATGTTATTGCATTGGTTACTGTATACATTTCTATGTGACAGATAAAAGTCGTTTTAGCATCTGTTCAGTGGGATTGAATGGTACTATTCGTTCCGTATAAATAATTGGCAGTACTTATCTGTGAGTAACGTTCTCAGTGCGGCTGTTGATCAACGTGGCTCACTCTCTGGTTATGAAGAGGTTTGTGAAGGTTAACGATAACATTAAATCGAAGAATCAGTCGCTTTATACAGCGCACATCAATCGGAATGCGTGCATACTGCTTACCAAAATCATTCAATCGTAGATAGCAGTCACCTCAGCTCCATGTGCTTCATCACCATCTTGACTGCGTTTGTTGTAAACCACCGGGATGTCTATTCAAACGAGCGTAAGGAGACCATCAGAGCAATACCACTTCTTCAGTGGATGAAAACTTACCACGCATTGCTCGTTATGGAATCCCGTAGAATTTTCATGCAAATTACATTTTGTTTACTTCTTTCGTACGCGTCGAAAACAACACCCAATAGCATTGCTGTAGTACTACCCAGTTATACTGTTTTATTTGAGTTAATACAAAATAAACGGCATCAGCCAACCATATTTTATGTCGCATGGGTGTTTTTCGTTCTATTTCTCCTCGTCATTCGATGTATTAACCCGCTAATTCCTGATTTTTAGCCGCGTTGACGCAACTCAACCAAGAAGTTGAGCGTTTGGCCTCTGCGCTGGACGCTGATTCGTTGAACAAACCAAATGCCAATGAACTGCTTTCAATCTCTNGCCTGCTCCGTAGTCGGGGATCATCCGAACAAGGATGTGGAGATTGAAGAATTACGAAATCGATTATCCACCGCTTTGCAATTGTTGGCCGAACAGCTACCTGTGGACACACGCAAAGGTATTTGTTTTTTTGATTAATTGTCCGTTTTTCCCGTGTCGAATCCTGTTCTTGGTCATCAAACTCAATAATCCAACAGTTCGCACTTCTGTATTGAGTTATCCAAACTAGCGATTCCGATGTTAGTCGAATGCAATGAGGTACTCACGATACATAATAACGCCTACCTTTCGACCCCCCCCCATTAGTTACTGTTGGTGAGATATGTACGACGGTTTTCATCAACTAGGCTTCTTTAATGTGCGATGTTTTTTTGAAGTTGTTCAGAACAAGTTGCAAGGTAATTAGTTGATGACATGACGGGA